CACATAGACTGTCATAATACACAGAGAAACTAAACAAGTACAGTACACCTCTGCGTACACACGCGAGAGGATAAAGGATTTCGGACTCACGCCCAGTCTCCAAAGCACGGCCCTCAACGGGATTATGTGGCACGCCGGGCGACCATGAACCTCGACGGCGATATTCTTATCCAAGATGTCCAGGTTCAAGATCAACCTACCGGGTACAATTACAATGCACCATTACCGAACGGTGTGACGAACATTCGTACTCGACTATACTGGGAGCCTCTGGCGCCAGTCTTACTCGGAAGCGAGGGGCAGCGACCGCGCCCAGGGCGGGTCACGACCGTCGGTGACGATCGTCTTCCCCCTCGATTGAGCGCGGCCGCGCGCTACCCCCTATTCCCGAATTTCCGACACTTACTCCTCCCGCTACCGAACAACAAGAGACATCACTACCTATCGATGTTTAGATTAAAGCAGAAAGAAAAGCAGACATCTGATTTAGAAGCCGGCATCACACCTCGCGAGATACCCAAGGTAGCCGAAGATGGCAGCGACGATTGCGGCGAGGACCTGAAGGGCCTCGGGCGTGGGGCTCACTAAGCCAACGTTCCCCTAGACGCCGACAGCAACGAGGATGATGAAACCCCCATCACACTGCCCGCGGGCTTACCTGCGGATGCATGCCGATGTGTTTCCCATAAGCCCAACCTTTTGATACGGACGACACAACAAGGTAAACGTGCTGGAACTGTGCGAAAGCAACAGGGAAGTATCGCAGAAGACCAGGACGAAATCATGCACCACTTGGATGCGGTCTTCGTCAATGTTGGTATGCTACAACCTAGCTGCAGGAAGATTGGACTGCCGTCCGGTTTCAATACTAAGGTGAATTACGACACGTGGTATGAACACCACAAGGAATTCACTCTGCACGTGAAGCTATGTGGAAGGATTGCCGTGCGTCAAGACGACTTCTGACAGTTTTATTTATGAGAACAACAAGTGGGTATCTGGGTGGATGAAATACCACCTTTGACGACATTGACAAAACGCGAGGGCACTCGCACAGTCAACATGGGCCAATGCGCCACGGGTCTTCGTGACTCGCATGGGGTATTAATAAGTGAACCTATTGAGATAATGGCCAATCGCCGTCTTTTGCTGACACCCTTCGAGAGCAAACGGTGCACGGGCAATCATCAACGCGCCTTGGTCTGCAACATGGAACTGGCCAGGGCAGCCCCGTATGCTCCGAAGATGCAATCCCTCTTCGTTGAAGCACTTCAAATTGCACATGGCATGTTCCTAGTAAGCCGTGATCCCTGTCGTGATCATTATCATTCGTCCTCGGTTCTCGTTGCGAACATGCGGGGGGTCGACTTGGATGACCCAACTATCCGTCGACATCCTGACGGATCGATCGCGGGGCCACCATCAGGGAGATGGGGATGTTCAGAACGCGCGCACAACGTCAGCGCGCACTCCCCATCGCAGGGCGGGGGCCCTAAACATTGTGGGTGGCGCGACAAGGAGGATATTTACTGGGATGGCCCGAGCTGCAAGAAGAACTACGGTCAGGCTTAACCTGTTCACATACGCACGCCTGGCAAGTGCAAATTTGCCAGAGCGTGGGAGCTGCCTGACAGCCGCGGACAGGAGCCTCCGGCTCCTGCCGAGCCGGCAGCGCCACCTTTTGCGTCGGCAGCTGCTTCCCAGGCACCAGCCGCCAAGAAATTTCGCGGTTACGTGCTCCGAGGCCTGGTTCCGGAGCTGAACCAACGCAGGGCGCCAGCAGCCACGACGTCGCAGTAGGGAGACATGCCGCTGAACCGGCTGCGGGGCGACCTGCCTCGAGCGGAGCCGGCCGCTCGGACGATCGCAGACGGCCACTGCAGATAGTTGCCAGACGAGGGCGACAGCAAGGGGGATATCCACCTCCACCACCACCTGCAGGTGAACATACAAGGCTTTCAAGGCTTGGTCCTCCACCTCCATACCACCTCCACCTCCACCGCCTGCTGCTCGTCCAAGGCTTTCAGATTGGTCAAGGTTCGACATGCAAATCAGTCTACATAACCCACGCAGCCTTGACCCGGGCGCGGTAACGCGCAAGGTGCGACAACTGGGTTCGCGGTGGTTCCGCGCCAAAGAGCCCAAGACGAGAGTCATCTTAACCAAGGTTGATCTGGACAGCGTCGGGCTGAGCCTGGTAAAAGGCGCATGTGATACACGTCGGGAGTGCAGGGCTGGGGACAAGCCAGGGCATGCCGCCATGCCGTCTTTTGCACAACCTGGCAAGTTTCACGATGAAGTCTGATGCGATCTGACGTTCTACAAACAGGAACACCACATTTCATATGATCGATCGCAGCATTCGATATGGCGCTGGAATCGAGATACCAGATAAAAACATGACCAGCATTTTAGACGCGCTTCACCAGTGATGGATGCAATTCGGACCGGCCAAAGTACTCTACTCCGACGGGGAAGGTACATTTAACAACGACACCGCAGAGGCAGTCTTAAGGCAAAAGGCGCTGGGCTGAGGATACGTGCGCGTGGACAACGCTACGACAACGGAAGCCAGACATGGCACATTACGACACTTATTTCACAGCATGGAAGCTGAACTCAACAGGTTAGACATACGTCCTGTGTTCACACGTCTTCTGCATGAAGCGCGATTTGTCGCCAGCGCGTTCACCTTTACAATGGGGTGTCTCCATGCAACGCAGTGTTTGGGCGGCAACCAGCAATGCTACCCGACCTGTCTGTCCTGAACCACGAACAGCAGACGGAAACATCAGGCCACTCTCGAGAACAGATTATCCGGCGGGTAAGCATTGAGGCTTTTATTCAAGCCACTGCAGTAGCGAAAAAATCGTGCACTACGGACCAAGACTACTATCACTGGCCGGCATTACTATGAAGAAGAAGATCTGTTCTGACTGTCATCGCCCCACTACTACGAAGGACGACTGGGTTGGCCGGAGTGGACCTTTGCCAGTCATGCGAAACGATACCGGCAGGGGTCAAGTCATCATACGAGTGGAGAATCGCGATTTACAGGTCCAATACGGCGACGCACGACATTCACTAAATTCAAATACATTGGTCGAAGCCTTGATCGAGAAATCGGCTCGGACAACGCAGCAATACGGATTGCGTTGGCATTCGTGGCCTGTCTACCTGCGGGGCGACCTGCTATGAAATTTGGCCACATCCCGACCTGGGAGTGAAAGCTCCATATGTCAAGTGCGAGCCGGCAATCTCCTATACCTCATCAGGAACTTCTTCCGCATCGAGAACGTATAGTCTCTGTCAGGCTAGCTCAGAAAGAGCATTCACAAGCAACCTCCGGCGGTTCATGCTGACAGCAGCGCGCTGGCGCATCATGACAACGACGCGAACCCAGGCTCCCACTATCACGAAGCCGAGGGCACTGCCCTCAACATATACGACATAATTTGATCAGCAGATTCTAGAATCATCTAGTGCCTGAAGTCCACCAAACCTCAAGCGAGCTTCGACCAAGATATGACGAAGTTTGAAGAACTGGCTGACGCACCGACACAAGGCAACGACGCCAGAGAAGAACCATAATCCGAGCCACCGCAGGCAAACGGACGGCTATCCATTATTCATGAGGAATCAGAAGTGGACTTCGAGGCACATATTATGGAGGTGCTGTGCACTTGCATATCAGTTGGATACGACAGATGATGGAATCGTGCAATGTGCGCAGTGGTGTGACACTTGCGACATGACCGCGGATGGCCACACCACAGGGAGCATCGACAGAGACGCGCTCCTACAGGTCATGGGAGGAACGCAATCCTTCAAGCACGACATAACAAGACACTTGCCATACAGGGTTGGCCAGACCAGACAAGACCGTCTGAGCCGCTTGAGGAGCAATCGTCTGCAAGATGACTTGCTTGCGAGGTAGTTTGCTTGCAAGGGCGCTTGCGTGCGGGTTGACCTTCATTGGTGAGCCCGCCTGCTGCTGCCTACCTTGTGAACATAGCGTTTTACTGTATAGTTGGCGGCGGACTCACGCTTCTTCTCCTCCCCTCCGACTCTAAAGGAGGCTGGGGCAAAGGCGAGAGATGGCGATTGTTTGTCCGCGGTCGTTTGTGCTCATGCGGCCGGCCGCCAGCATTTGACGGCACCTCATCGCGAGGCACACTACTTGCCATCGATACCGACAACACATTCGCTTGACATGGCCCGTCGCTCCCGAAACGATCTCCTACTTCTGGGGCTATCGTTGCTACGGTACAACAGAGTTGGATATGGGTTTCGCCTTGGGCGAACCATATGGCTGGGCCTCCCAACCCCTTTCACATTTACCCACTTCGGTTTTCTGGATGGGGGGGGGTCGAACCTGGTGACCCCCCTCGGTTTTTTCTGGGAGGGGGGGGGGGTCGAACTGGCACTGACCCCTCGGGTTTGTTTTCTGGTGGGTGGGGGGGTTCGGGGGGGGGATTGTGCCGCGGGGAAGGGGGGGAAAGGGGGTCCAGCAGAGCGGGGGGGATTTCGGAGGGGGTGGGAGGGGGCCCGGGCTCTGGAAGAAGAAGGGGGGATTTTCCACAGTAAAGCGGCGGTGGTTCACTCTCGCTCGAATAACCAAATCGGCATATACATAAAATGTTTGGTATTTTTTCGCGGATTTCTTGGATCGGCGCTGGGCCCCTCTTGGCGGCGCCTGCGGCACCGCCCCTGGCGCGCTCCGCGCGCCAGGGAGGGGATCCAGCGACGATCCAAGAAACCCGCGTGGACTTCAGGAACCTTGCGTATGCCCCTTTGGATCCTCCAAGGTGGGGATGTGAAAGGTATGGACAGTGGTAGAGGGAGGGAATAGTTACATTGGCAGGGCGCGGACCACGCCACTCAAGACGAATCTGGCAGCACTATTTCTCTTCACCCTCTCCTCCTGACCCCCTGAGGCGGGCGAGCGTGCGAAAGCGGGGGGGCCACAGGCGGGGGGGGGGCTCGACGCGGCGCTCCAGGCACCTGGCGAAGATGCCGCTGGAGGCAGACCTCGTCCAGGCACTGTCAGCCAGGAGAGGTTGAAAGATCTGAGGGGGAAGGGGGGAGGGTGAGGAGCAGGACTGTGAGATCAGGATGTTTCAGTTTTTGACACCGGGCGTCTTCGCCCAGCTTCGGGCCCTGGTTTCGGGCCACGGTTATGGGCTCGAGAAACGCCGCTATACGATGGGGTCCAGGGCTCATGTTTCGATTTACGAGAAAGTGCATTTTTCCGCAACGTCGCTTCTCAGGAGAGGAGGAGCAGGAACAGGCGCAGCAGGAAAAGCAGGAGCATGGCAGTAGCGGAGCGCGGAGCAGGACGAGGGGCACGAGGGGCAACAGGTGGAGGAGGGCTTGGAGGACGAGGAGGAGGAGGAAGAGGAGGGGGAGGAGGAGGGGGAGGAGGAGGAGGAGGAGGAGGAGGAGGGAGGAGGAGGAGAGAGGAGGAGGAGGAGGAGGACCGAGGGGAGATGAAAAGGGAGGGGCAGGAGGAGGGGGGAAGGGAGGGAGGGAGGGGCGGGGCAAGCCTGGCAGGGCCACCGAGGGGCGGGCGCAGCACGCGACCCAGCTGCAGGGCCGGGGGCCCGCGGGGGCCGAGAAAGCAGGAGGGGGGACGACGACGACGACGACGACGACGACGACGACGACGACGACGACGACGACGACGACGACGACGACGGCGACGACGGCGACGACGACGACGACGACGACGACGACGGCGACGACGACGACGACGACGACGACGACGGCGACGACGACGACGGCGGCGGCGACGGCGGCGACGACGACGACGACGACGACGACGACGGCGACGCCTTCCGCGCTCCGGCGAGGCCGCCTCGGGTCTCGCCGAGACCGCGGTGCGCGAGTGGACCCGGCAGTACGGGCGGGCTTCGGAGGCGCGGAGGGCCCCGGGCGCCTCCCGCGGCCCGCGCCGCGTGCCGCTGCCTCCTGCCGCCCTCGCCCCTGCCCTCGCCGCCCGCGCCTCCTTTCTGCCCCCCCCCTCCCAGCCTCCCTGCCCCCCTGCCTCCCTCCTCCCTTCTTCTCCCCTCCCTCCTCCCCTCCCCCTCCCCTCGCTCCTCCCCTTGTCCTCCTCCCCTCCTTTCCCCCCCCTCCCTCCCTCCTGCCTCCCCTCCTCCCCTCCCCTCCTCCCCTCCCTCCTCTCCACCCCCCTCCTCCCGCCCTCGCCTCCCTCCCAGCCTTCCTCCCCCTGCCTCCCTCCTCCCGTGCCTCCTCCCCCCCCCTCCTCCCTCCCTCCCTCCCTCCTCCCGCCCTCGCATCCCCCCCAGACATCACCGCGTCGTAAAAAAAAAAATCACGACAGGGAAGCTTTTGTCGCCCATGTTCGGCCCTGCCTCCCTCCTCCTCCCTCCCTCCCTCCCTCCTCCGTCCCCGCGTCCTTAAAACTTACCCTGGCGACGTAATTACCCAACAGGTGATGACGTGACATGGGCGCTTATACTTCTGCGATCGGCATTCGTGATGCTCGCAGCCCCCCAAGGATTGCGAGGTCCCGCTCGGATCTGCGCGGTGCTTCACTCCGCTGGACCCGCCACCAGCCTTCGAAAGTAGCGACGGTTTCGCAGATCGCAGCCCCCCAGGGTCGGCGAGGTCCCGCTCAGGTCTGCGCGGTGCCTCACTCGGCTGGACCCACCAGCAGCCCTCGAAAGTGGCGACGGTTTCGCAGATCGCAGCCCCCCAGGGACGGCGAGGTCTCGTTCAGATCTGCGCGGTGCCTCACTCAGCAGGACCCACCAGCAGCCCTCAAAAGTGGCGACAGTTTCGCAGATCGCTATGCTGCCCCCCAAGCAGCCTTCGAATGTGATGATAGTTTCGCAGATCGCAGCCTCCCAGGGACGGCGAGGTCCAGCTCAGATCTGCGCGGTGCCTCACTTCGCTGGACACCAGCAGCCTTCGGAAATGGTTACACTTTCGCAGATCGCAGCCCCCAAGGGTGACTGCGAGGTCCCGCTCAGATTTGCGCGGTGCCTCACTCCACTGGACCCACCACCAGGTCACGAAAGTGGTGACAGTTTCGCAGGTCGCTATGTTGGCCCTCCAAGCAGCCTTCGAAAGTGATCACAGTTTCGCAGATCGCAGCCCCCCAGGGACGGCGAGGTCCTGCTCAGATCTGCGCGGTGCCTCACTCCGCTGGACCCACCAGCAGCCCTCGAAAGTTCTTACAGCTTTGCAAATCGCAGCCCCCCAGGAACGGCGAGGTCCCGCTCAGATCTGCGCGGTGCTTCTTTCCGCTGGACCCACCAGCAGCCCTCGAAAGTGACGACGGTTTCGCAGATCGCAGCCCCCCAGGGACGTCGAGGTCCCGCTCAGATCTGCGCGGTGCTTCGCTCCGCTGGACCCACCGCCAGCCCTTGAAAGTGGCGACGGTTTTGCAGATCGCAGACCTCCAGGGTCGGCGAGGTCCTGCTCAGATCTGCGCGGTGCCTCACTCCGCTGGACCCACCAGCAGCCCTCGAAAATGGCGACGGTTTTGCAGATCGCAGCCCCCAAGGGACGGCGAGGTCCCGCTCAGATCTGCGCGGTGCCTCACTCCGCTGGACCCACCAGCAGCCTTCCAAAGTGGCGACGGTTTCGCAGATTGCAGCCCCCCAGGGACGGCGAGGTCCAGCTCAGATCTGCCTGGTGCATCTTTCCGCTGGACCCATCAGCAGCCTTCGAAAGTGGCGACGGTTTCGCAGATCGCAGCCCCCCAGGAACGGCGAGTTCCCGCTCAGATCTGCGCGGTGCCTCACTCAACAAGACCCACCGCCAGCCCTTGAAAGTGGCGACAGTTTCGCAGATCGCAGCCCCCCAGGGACGGCGAAGAGAGGGCAGGAGGAGGCGGGAGGCGGGAGGAGAAGGACGCGCGAGCAATGCTCTATTCAAAACGAATGCCCAACCAAGGAGGGTCGGTAAATATCACGACGACAGGTGTTCGGCAATTTTCGGTATCTGCGGCCCCCGAGGCCGTCAAGAAATGGGCTCAGGATGAGACGCCAGTCCCAGAGGAAGGGTTGCGGGACTTCTCCGGGGGCCGCGCATGGTTTCGGCCTCCGGGGCCCTGAACGGACCCCAGGACCGTCAGAAAACGACTCGGGTCGGAGAACCTGCCCTCGAGAGGTTGCCCAGACCTCCAGGGGTCCACGCACCGAAGATGACATCGAAGCCCCGGATGTTTGGGCCCCTGCCTCCTTCCCAGCCCTCTTCTTCCTTCTTCCCTTCTCCCGCTCCTCCCCCGCAGTCTCCAGTACTCAGCCGATGGCCGCCTCATCCCTGAAGAGGGTCGGGTACCCTTTGAGCCGATGGCGAGCCTGGTAATTCTCCCTCTCCTCCCTCTCCCGGCCACGCGCAGGGTGGGGTAGAGAGATGGGGGAAGGCTTCTTAACACCACCCCTTATTTCTGAGAAGGCGGGGGCCTTCTCTATAGATGCAGGTCCGGCGCCTTCTGAGAAGCCTTTCCCCCTTGTGTGAGCCGCCAACGCTTCTCCTCCCTCCCTCCTCCCCATTTCATCCTTCCTCCGCCTGGGAGGGGGCGGCGGTGTTCCCTGTTCCCCGTCGGCGCCGCTGCCCCGAATCCAATCGGCTCTCGTCTGCTGCTAGCTCGCTCGCGTCTGCACGCCTGCTTAGCCGTGCTGTGTAGTCGCTTCCAGCAAGATCCTCCTCCTCCTCCTCCGGCTTTTCTCCTCCATGCTCGGGCTCCTCCCCTCGCCCTCCTCCCCCTCGCCCTCCTCTAACTCTAGCCCTAACTCTAACTCCTCGCCCCTCTCCTCCTCCTTCCCTCGCCCTCCTCTGACTAGCTGGCTCCCCCCCCTCCTGCACCTAGCCCAGCCGCCAGCTCGTGGCTAGGATTCGGAGGCTCATCTCTTGGCTGCCTTTACCTGTGCCTCCCCCTCCTGCTTTTCCCGTCCTCCTGCTTTTCCCGTTCTCCTGCTCTTCTCATCCTCAACACCCTCCTGTACCAGCTCCCTTCCTCCCCCCCGCCCTCACTCTACGTACTCCTGACCCTCCCTCGTCCTCCTCCCCCTCCTTCTCCCCCTCCCCCTCCTCCTTCTCCTCCTCCTCCCCCTCCTCCTCCTCCTCGCAGGTTTAGTCCGCAGTGCCTTGGCTTCGATCGGGTACAGGCGTAATTTCTCCATTGCAGTTGGTTAGTTTGCCGACGTGGGCGAGGAGGAGGAGGCGGAGGAGGAGGATGATGAGGAGCGGGGTTGGAGGAGGCGGAGGCGGAGGAGGAGGAGGAGGAGGAGGAGGAGGAGGAAGAGGAGGAGGAGGAGGAGGAGGAGGGAGGGGAAGGCAGCGGAAGGGTCATGGACGCAATATGATTTGATCTTCATGTCCGAGTAGCGTCAAACAACAGGTGAAGGGTCGGCGATGATGTGTCCCCCGCGCAGTGGCGACGCCGCCTACCCTTCCCCCCCCTCCCTGCACGCAGGAGGAGTGATCGCAAACTCTGCAGCACACTTTGGAGGGCCAAGCCAACCTGCTTCTAGAAGGCCAACATCTAGGGCCGATGTCGAAAACCGTTCTCACGTCCTAGCCAACAGCGTCCATGGACACCTTGGGTGCCGTGACGTCCATAGACGATTTCGGGGGGATACGTCCATGGACAACGTGGCCGTTGACGGCATGCTCCTGTTCTAGAGCAGGTACCACATGGTATTCCAACGCACATTGGCTCAAATTCGCGCAGCTTCAACAAGGAGCAGTGGTCGGCCACGCGCGAAGGGGGGTTAGGGGGAGGGGGGAAGGCCTCTTAGTAGGAGCGCCCCTGCTTCTGAGAGGCCTTCCCCCCTCCCCCATACCAGCTCGCTTGCGCCGCTGGAGTGGGGAGAGGACAGGGAGGACGAGGACGTAAACGACGGGGGGGGGGGCGAGCAGGGAGGTTAAGCAACTCCTGGGAGGCTTCAAGTCAGAGTCGGCGCTGGTATACAGTCGGGGCGTTGACCTAAGGAACGATCAACAAGGAACGAGGCCCTTTTTTCCCATAAGTGTAACTTCGATTCTCCATCGAATACCTCAAGAAGACCTAAGACAAACTAGAACACAATCAAGAAACACTGAGCCCTCCCAAACGAAAAGTGTTCCTTCTTCAGCACCCCTAATGTATAGCCGCGGTCGAAGGCCAGCCTGACACAGCACAATCCCATGCAGTCCGGATGCACCCCGCCTCCAGCTTGGCATTGGGGCTCCTGCTGGGCCAATAGTCTGGCTCCATGGCCCCTTGATCGGGCTCCAGGACCCTCACGAAGGCCTCCGAGGAATTACAGTCGGGGCGCTGAAGAAGGAACCTTTTTCGTTGGGGAGGGGCTCGGTGTTCCTTGATTGTTCCAAAGGTTGCCTCGGGTTTTCCTGAGGTTTTCCATGAGAAATCGAGGTTGAACCTATGGGAAAAAGGGGCCTCGTTCCTTATTTTGGGTTCCTTAGGTCAACGCCTCGACTGTACCTCCCGAGGGAGGGCAGGGCCGGGCGGGGCAAGGACAGAGAGAGAGGTCGGTCCAGAGCGTTCCGGACCGCCCTCGGAGCGTTCTGGAGCGCTCTGGCACGGCCGCGGCGCTCGACGCGTCCTACCCCCGATCTGGCCATGCCCGATCTGCCCGATCTTCCCCCTGATCGGTTGAAACGCCACACCGTCTTCCTCCTCCTGCTCCTCCTCCTCCTGCTCCTCCTCCTCCTCCTCCTATCTCTCCGCTCTTCCCCTCTCTCGCCCGTCCCTTCGCTGCCCGGCGCCCAACATGTGCAGATCCCACCGCCCAGGTCCACGTCGTGCAAGAACCAAGCAAAAGGCAGGGAACCTTTCTGGACCAAGCCCACGACCAGGACCCTCTCCCAGCCCCCAGGGCTTTTGGGTACCGTACACTCCGTCGTCCCGACCGGCGGCGACCCCGCCGCTGCCGCTCAATGTTGAACGCCGCCGGCGACCCAGAATCGGCAGATGTTGAACGATCTGATGTTTCGGGAACTGCTGATCGTTCAAGTTTGAGCGATCCCTGCGATGCCAGGAACCAACAGCAGGGTCTGAACGACATGGACCTGCCGTATAGTATATTTGTTTCTGGTTTGCATTTTGCTTCTGCCTTGGCTAGGCTTTGCATCAGGGGCAACGATATGGGGGGGAAGCATAGTGGGGGATGCAGCGACCCCCAATCGCCCATTGGACCACGCCGATAGGGGTCCGATAGTTTTTATTTGCCCAGGAGCGCGCGGGCTCACGATCGGGAGCCTGTCGCCGTTCTATCGGCGATGTATCGCAGATTCCAGGTCGATGTGTCCCCCCCTTTCGTTGCCCCTCATAGCTCAGGAGAGGAGCAAAAACAAACGGAGTGGAGGGGAGGACGAAAGTCCAAAAAGTATGACACACATGGGGACCGTTTGAGAGTTGTATCTATAGTGGGAAGGAAGCCATGCCAAGAAACCCCTTGCTTGCCTCCAGGGTGCCCTCGGTTTCTTGGGCTTCGATGGTTTTGCGATCGCAGGCGTGCCGCTCCCACACGAAAAAACAATTCATAGACGTCCTGGGCTTTCGGGGTTGGGTGTCTTGTGGACTGTTTCTTGTGGCCGAGGTCCTCGTTGCGGTCGATTCCCAGGAAAAGATGGGAAACATGTGGAAAATGGAGGGGAAGACGAGCGTCCAGAAAGTAGGAAACATATTGGGATTCTTGGGAGATGTGTCTGCAGTGGAAACCCATGCCAAGAAACACCCTGCTTGCCTCAAGGGTGACCTGGGTTTCTTGGGCTTCGATGGTTTGGCGCTGGCAAGCGTGACGCTCCCACAAAAATCATGGGTGTCCTGGGACCTCAGTGTTGGGCTTCTTGTGGAAGGTCTCACTATGGTCGAGCTCCCGCCTTCAGTCACATGGCACGCGGCGGGGCGCTGCGCCGCGCCCGCCCCGCCGCGCCCTGCAAAGCAAAGGTCGAGATGGGAAGCATGTGGGAAGTGGAGGGGAGGACGGGAGTCCAGGAAGTCCGTGGCACATGGGGACCCTTGGGAGCTGAGCCTGTTCATCTGTGCGTCCCTGGGCGCCTTCGGTCGCAGGGCGCGGCGGGGCGGCGCCGCGCCCGCCCCGATGGCACCAGGCGGACGACATCAGCGTCCTGCTGTACCGACACCCGCCGCAGGCGGAGTGAGGAAGCATCGGGTGCCTGCGTCGAGCTCCTCTCGGCGGCGAGCCTCGGAGGAGGAAAAGGTGCGGTCAACCCGCATTCGGAAGGATGGGCGGTGCTCCTCCTCGCCTCCTCGCTCCAGCCTTGGCCACTTTCGTTGGCCGCGCCCCGCTCGAGAAGCTTCGAAGCGGCCTTCCAAGGCCCTGGCATCCTTGTCGCGCACCCTTCTGGTACAGGCCGACTGTATCCTTACCGCTACCCTTCCCTCGCCTTCGCATTTTTGGGGCCTCCTGCGAGGCCCTCGTCGCCACCGCTGGCTCTGCCTCGAAGTTTTGGTCAGAACGCACCCTGGGAGAGGTCTGGGAAGTAGCGGCATGGGTACTGTTTGGTATCCCCGAGAGTTCCTGCGGGAAGTCGCTTGCACGTGGTTAAGAGTGACCCTTCGCCGGAGTGAGCTGTGGTCCAGGCCCACAAGGATCCCCCGATCGTCGAACGCGATGCGACAGAGGCGTCTTGCGCACCTGTGTTCGGTCCCCCAGCGGCCCCCAGCGGCCTCTCAAGAAGTCGCGCACCAAAGATCACTATTGCCCAGGGTCGCTCTCTTGCGTGTGGCCGCGGATTGCCCAGGGTCACTCTCTTGCGTGTGGCCGCGGAAGGGAGTGGCGGGTCTTCTCAGAGGCTCTGAAGACCCCCGGCTTTCTGATAATATTTCTGGGCTTGGGCGTCGCGTTCTGGGGGATTGCCAATTGGGGGGGTTGGCGAGGGCTGTAGCCGAGGCGCCCTCCAGGGCCCTGGAAGGGGCCCTTTCCGCACCTGCCTGCAGGACCCGAGAGGTGCACCCCCTCCTCCCCCCCCCTCATTTCGGGCGGAGAGAACTATGCACATCCACCGATCCTGGCAAGGCCCCTCCTGGGCCCAGGATCGGTGCATGTGCCCTCCTGGCCAAGGCAGGATGGCGTATGCACCGATCCTGGGCTCAGGGTGGGCCTGGCCAGAAGCGGTGCATGTGCATAGTTCTCTTTCCTCTACATTTATCCTCCCCCCAGGAAGCGGCGCCCAACGAGCCTTTCCCGAAGGCACAGACAACGTCTCAGAAGGCCAGGGGGATTCTGAGACGTCCCGCCGCTTTCCCCTGAGATCTGACGACGCGGATAGTCGAACCATCGTAAACAAATCACGACCAGAGCACTGGACCCCATCTTTCTGCGGCACTTTTCGAACCAGATCGATCTGTGATGAGGGTTCCGTGGCTCGAAATATGGCGAAATGGCCCAGCTCGAAATACAGTGGAAACACATGCCAAGAGACACCTTTCTTGCATCCATGGTGTCCTGGGTTTCTTGGGCTTTCATGGTTTTGCGATGGAACGCGTGACCTTCCCACACTTGCAAACTAAAAGGGCGCCCTGGGGGCTCAGGGTTGGGGTTCTTGTGGAAGGTTTCTTGTGGTCGAGCTCCTGCTGCAATCGAGACGCCAAGATTCCGAAGGGAACAAACACAAAGACACGATTAACCGTCGACTCCCAGCAAAATATGGGACACTATGGGAAGTGTGTGTGCGCCGTGTGTGTGTGGGGGGGAAGACGAAAACCCAGAAACTATGGAAAGTTTGGAAATCCTGAGATCTGTGTCTATTTATTTGTGTGTCCCAGGGCCCCTTCAAAGATCTCAGGGTCCGAGGGGCCTCCTCCTTCCTCGCTTCCCCCACTCTCGCTCTCGCCGCCGCTCCTCGGACGGAAGGGCGGCGCGGCGCGCGCGCGGCCGCGCAGGGGGCGCGATGCATCGTCGGCCCTTCTGCTCGGGTCGGGCTCGGGTTCGCGCGGATGCTCGGAGGAGGAACAGTTGCAGTCGGACCGAGGCACGAGATCGAAGTTGGTTCGGGGAGGGTGCCTTTAAGTCGGGCATGTCTCTCTATACAGGAGGCTATGCAACAATAGTCAAAAGATAGTCGGGTACGATTTTCTCGACTAGTTTGAATATTTGCTGCCAAAACCCGCCTGTAGGAGGACATGTCTGACCTAAGGGTACTTTAGCGTTCTTCGAGTTTGTTGGATGTTCTTGTGCACCCTGGAGATGCTACCCTTGGACGTTCTGTGTGTGTGTGTCTTTTGGGGACGGAGGGTCTCGTGTTCTCGAAGGCTGCTCTTCTGGGGCCTGGGTCCGACGGTAGGTTCGCGGGCGACTGTTCTCCCCCAGTTCCTGAATTCCGCCCGAAGAGTTTGGCCGCATAGAAAGAAGGGGGGAAACCTGGGATACACCCCGAGGGGCTCGGACGCGCCCTTACCGAGGATGGACGCCCCCCCCAATGGCATAGCGGGGTGGAAATTTCCGGTTCGCTCGAAAACCGACGAAGCTTGAGATAGGGGGCGACATACCCCCTTGTGAGGTGCCCATACCGCTATACCCTTCCCCAGCTAGTTTTGTTGCCTGGGCCTCCTGGGAGCCCCCCTTTTTGGCTCAAGTGAACATCCGGCTCAATATTGCATTTGCGTGCGCTGTTTGAGCAGACTTGTTTGCAGGTATGCCCGGACGTGAGATCATGGCGAAAAAAAGGCTCTCCGGACGCCAAAAAGCACAAAGCCAAGATGTCCCAGGAACAGAAACTGGACAAATTATTTCAAAGCATGGAAAGGTGGGATAGCATGTACGACGTGACGAAGAGCATGAAGGACGACATCAAAAAGGCAGTCCATCTTGCACAGATCGCGAGTGATACTGCAGGAAAGGCCTTGGGGGAAATATCAAAGATCAAAGCAGGCATCGAAACGATGAAGGCCAAGGACGCGTCAATCGAGAATGACATGAAGGCGATGAGGAAGGAGATGGAGGACTTCGAGAAGGAAGGGATGAACATCAACAGGGAGGAGGTGAATGAGATTGTAAAGGAAAGGGTCAAAGAAGTTGTGAAGGAAGTTGTGAAGGAGGAGGCGGAAGGGTTGGGGGACAGAGCGAGGGGTTCTCCATTGGTGTCGAATGGGGGCCAGGGGTCCAGTACTTACACAGGAAAAGGGGCAGGCAAGGGGGCAGCGGTACAGGAACAGCGTTCCAGGACAGTGTCTTTTGGATATTTTCCAGAAGATACCAAAGAAACAACTATCAAACAATATTTGAGCGAGTGGACGAAAGACTATGAGGTGGAGGAGGTGTTCGATTTCGGGAAATACTCTACGAGAGGAGCCGCTCTTGTCAAGACGGGGGAAGGCATGTGGGACTATCTCGTCAGGAATTGGGGACAGCTCCAGCATGAGGTCATGGGGGCCACGGTGTACGCAAACCTTGACGCCACGCGTGACAAACATCCGGAAAAAAAACGAAAGGGGTCAGGAAAATCGCCACGACGATCATCGAGAACGGGGGGGCTAAGAAAGACATAGCAACACATTACGCTAAAGGGAAAGTGTGGTGGAAGGGCGCTAGGGTCGCCGAGTTGGGCGACAACGCAGGTAAGATGGTCTTGAAAGGCGATGCGGTACAGTACCAGAAGCATTATGACGAGCTCATGGCAGAGGAGCATGAATTTGATTTGCCATCCAATCCGGTCGCCACGAGACAGGGCATTGAGTCAAGCAGGGGAGGGAGTGGAAGAGGTCGATATGCCAGAGTGGATGGTGATGTGCCGTGCATTTTTGGGAGGAAGTCGACGGCTAACGCCGAGACGAATTCAATGCAACATGCTGTGCAGGACGATCTTGTTCATTTCGCGGCTCTGTGCTGGAATTATTGTGGCATGGTGGCGGGGGCGGTCGAATATATGATGCTTTTGTGATTGGATGGCGTGGAATGGCGCGCAATTATTTTGCAAGAGGGTCCGTGCTATGAAAGCGGTGCCTGTGTTATTTTGGAAGGAGGGCACGCTATGTTTATAGGAACGTACAGGGAATGGGTCAGGAGTGTTTGCGTTGTGGTGCACAGGAGGTGGGTAGACGCTGGGGCTGGCATGAAGTTCGCAGCAAATGGGAGATTGCAGGTACGATTGCTAAACAGCGCGTTCTCCGCATGCCAACCGCCCAGAGGAAGAATGCGAATATGCATTGGAAGACGCGTGCGCAGCGATGGAGGAGGGCAGGCGCAAAAACACACATCCACATATTAGGATGAGCGTGTTCTACCGCTGCTGGCGGAAAACCGGGGGGGGTCACTACCGGTTCGAGCCCCTCCCCCCCCCCCCCTCCCTCCGGAAAACTGAGGGGGGCCACTGCCGGTTCGAACCCCTTCCCCCCCCCCCCCTCCCCCAGTTCCTCATGAAAGGGGTGGGGTGGGCGCTGCCGGTTCGAACCCCCCCCCCCCCCTCTCCCTTCGAAAACCGAGTGGGGGCGCGGACAGTGGTGGGGGCGGTGTTGGCGGGGGCAGTGGCGAGGGGGCAGCGGGGCAGTGGTGGGGGCAGTGGGGCAGTGGGACAGTGGTGGGGACGGCAGTGGTGGGGACAGTGGTGGGGACAATGGTGGGAACAGTGGGGGCAGTGGACAGTGGTGTGGGCGGTGGTGGCGGGGGCACAGTGGGATTGAGGTGGAAACAGTGGGACAGTGGAGGGTACAGTGGGGGCAGTGGACAGTGGTGTGGGCGGTGGTGGCGGGGGCAGCGGCGTGGGGGCAGTGGGATTGAGGTGGAAACAGTGGGACAGTGGAGGGTACAATGGTGGTGGGGACAGCGGCAAAGGCGGCGGCGAGGACGGCGGTGGGACGATGGGACAGAGGTACAGCGGGAACAATGGTGGGGGCAGTGGGGACAGTGGTGGGAACAGTGGGGCAGCTCAGTGGGACAGCGGAGGAGTCAGTGGGACAGTGGGGACAGTGGGGATAGTCGGGCAGTGGTTGGGTCCGTGGAGACAGTGGGGAGAGTGGAACCGTGGTGGGAACAGTGGTGGGAACAGTGGGGACAGTGCGACAGTGGTGGGGGCACTGGTGGGGACAGTAGGGACGGTGGTGGAACCAGCGGGGACAGTGGTGGTGAGGACAGTGGTGCTGGGAACAACAGTGGGGGATGTGATGCGAGCGGTGGTAGGGACCGGGAGTCGTTTGCTGGCGGTGCGTGGGGGGTGGGGGGGGTCGACCGGCAGCGCCCCCCCCCGGTTTCGGGGGGGGGG